CGACAGTGCGGCGTTCCCTGGGTGCTGCGAATGGAAATTCCAGGCTGAGTTCTGTGTGCCTGTGTGCGCTGACATGTTGGCTTTGTGCGTGAGAATGAGAGTGATATCCGAGCTGTGACCGATCTGTAATTTGTGATTTGTGACATTAATGCTGGACAGTTATTCGATTTCTCTGCGACGTTTTCCTCGGAGGCAAGCTGTTGACTGTGTGCCATTACTTCTTAATCTCTGCTGGATAATTCAATCTCAAAGTCCTGGGAATAGCAGCACGTGTGTTTGTCATTAGCTTGGACTGGCTGTCGTTGTTCTTTCTCCAAATGCACCTTGCGGGATTTGGAAAGCCAATTGAAATTGTGTTTGCTCTCCCTGGTGAAAGATGCCCACTCTGACCAGATAACAAGTTGCCTTTCTCAGTATAAAAATTGCACTCTCTCCCTCTCCTGTTCTGTGTATGTTCTGATTATGGAGTTCCTGATTCTCACCCTGCTGCTGGGAACTGCTGGTAATCGCATCGTCATAACTTTTGTTGTTTTTCCCTCTCTCTCTCGTGATTTTCTTGCAATATTCTTCTTCCACTCTTGGGGACCTGTGCCCTTTCTGGTTTAGTGCATCTTTCATAGCTCAAAGTTCCGAGGAGAAGTGAAGGGAGTGGGAGATGAGGGGCAGATCCTTTGTAAATTTGGGGAGAGCTCGTCTGGAAGCAAAACAGACGCTGAGGTTTTGAGCTGAGCCCCGTCGATGATGGATTTCAGACAGATTAGGTGTAATCCTGGATTGCATCTCGTAATACGATATTGCAGAGGAGTTAATGTATTTGTTTTGCCTTGTACTATCATAGATTTCCTTCAGGCTATATGTTTAGCAACATATCCACTTAAATACGAATGGGAGCTCAAAAAGATGACATTTCTTAATCATTCTGGCTCGATTCCCTAGGGTAATATTTGAAAGTTATGCGCAATTATTTCCAGGTTTATCACAAAAGTTAAAGAGGTTAAAATAAATGCTTAAAATCCTCCTAATTGACCCAGTTTTCAGACTCAGTTTGGAAGAAATATTGGACCAGGTATCTCTTTCCAACAAGTAGTTACTCTCACCAAAGAGATCTAGTTATTATCCATCAATACTCATAAAACGTTCTAACCTGTTTTTAAACTTCCCCTTACATACAGACAGACACATGTATAGACCAGGAATAAACACAGGAATGGAGAGGAAAAACTGGAAAGAGTTCCATTTTCTTTTGCTCCTAAGTCCTGCTTGAATTTGTTCATGCAGATCTGAAACTTTCTCCTCAGCATCCCTTTCCCTAGATGCTTTCGCTGATTTGCAAAAGGCGCAGGGTGGCTGGGTCACTTGCAAACTGTGTCTGCTATTTCAACTAGAAGTTGCAGCTTAAAAACTAGGAAAGGTCAAATGTTTTTCTTGAGGTTCAATGTAGTTTATTTTGGATGCAGAGAACAGAGAAACAGCCCGCGAGATGGTGGGGATCAAATTGTGCTGAGCTCTACTGTTACCCGACAACCAATCATGCAAGCAAATGGCTGTTGTCATCAGTAACTAGCCACTAGTCCGTAGACCAATCGCTTTCTTGTTGCCAACCAGAGCTCCATTTGTACACAGGAGCCCACGACTCCAGTTTGTCTGCAAACCCTCACTTCTCAAGGCAGCTGCACAAGTAATGTTTGCCATGAAGGTCACGTGACTTTCTCTTCAGAACATGCTCCAATCCTTTAACACGCCGTTTTCTTAAAATTAAAACCTCCTCCTCTTTTTCAGTCGACAACTCTTAAAAATGTGAAGACGAGGCCTCTCTGAATTCCTCATTAATTGGGTTCTTTCTGCAGTGGCGTTCTCTGGAGATGAGAAAATAGTCGGTGGTTATGAATGCTCCCTATATAGCATTCCCTGGCAGGCATCCTTAAATATTGGGTATCATTCCTGTGGAGCGTCCCTTATCAATGATCGATGGTTGGTTTCTGCTGCACACTGTTGGTATTAGTAAGTATCTCGCCGTCTCATGCTTACTTGTCTACGAAGCCTCCTACAAATTGTACACTCCGCTCTACGTGCTGCGCTCAGTTCCCCAGTCTCCAAGTTCAGGAACGCCAGGAAAGCAAGGGGAATCGAATGGTTTATGGTGAGGAGAATGGCATGCGAGACTAGGGAGGCTATGGTTTCAGTTAGACAGAGGTCACATCTGGAGTGGAGGTTAAAATTCGTTGGAATTCCCTTCCTCGAAAGGGCAGCGGATACTGAATCTTTCGACGTTTTTAAGGCAGAAATCAATTTCTGATGACCATGCGATGGAAGATTACGAGGGGCCAGTGTGTGGCTAGGGTTACGAGGGGCTAACCCTAACCCTATCCCTATTGCACAGTTGAGGCTGAAACCAGGTCAGCCCCAGCCGTGTTGAATGGCAGAATGGGCTCGATGGGCAGAGTGGCCTACTCCTGTCTCTTGCTTGTACGGATTCGGAAATGTCGGAGAAGGAGGGAAAGGGGGAAACGGCTGTCGGAGGTAATGGCCGGAGAGTCTGACCAAACGTTGGGCTGGAAAACGGTCAAGGAATTTTGACAAGGTGGATGGAGGAGGA